CTGAGGAGCTCCACGGGCCCCAGAAAGGCAGCAATACAAAACCTGTGATCCTTGACTGTTCTCTATGCGTGCAGTCGGGGTCTCTCTCTTCCTGCTTGGGGGTGCTCCTTGTGGGTGCTGATCACGTGGCACGACGACAACCGCTCAAATATGGTCGCTGGATTCCGGATCCTTGTTGAGACCCCTTTTGGCCAGTGTTTCAAGCTGCGTTCAGGCGTGACCATGAGACGCCCCCCCCGAGGCTGGACAAACACCAACAGGCCGAAGTATCGCAACATCCCCAAAGGTGTCGCAATATGATTCCCTCCCCCAAGGATGCTCATCGAGTGGCACGAGAAGATGATGAGCAAGGAGTTCCTGGTGAACGGCCGGCTGGGGGGCCGAGACTGTGCCGAGCTGGTGCTTCTGCAGCCGAGCGACCCCCTCGAGATGGTGGCCAGGCTCGGCGGTGCGAAGGGGGCAGGGCGAAGGGTGGAAAAGGGAGAGGAGGGGGAGGATGAGAAGGTGAGGGTGGAGGAGGAGAAGGGAGGATGGGGAACAGAAGGAGGAAAGGATAGCGAGGCCGAGGCGGTGGACCAGTGGATGCGGGCCCAATTCCAGAGGCCAGGCGCCCGGCCGGGGGAGGGGGGCCCGAGCCGAGGGAAGAGGGAAATCCCCTCTTCTCCGCTACTCGAAGGCGCGCTGAGGGGTGAGGGGACGACGGCGACGTCGTCGATCGTCGTTGTCGTCGTTTTGTAGTCCCTTCGAGCTGTCCTGGAGGCCTTCTTGGCCGAGGCTGGGCGCGGCTCGAAAGGCTGGCCAGGACGGAGCCCGCGAGGGGTCTGGACACCGGTTTGAGTTGTTTGGTGGGGACACGGGGGGCGTCGGATTTCAGGAGGGTCGACCTCCGGGATCTTGACGTGTTCCGCGGTTTGGGGGGCCTCGTGGGGTGGCCGTCAGGCCAGACGCGACGCCCGAGGTGGTCGTGAGACCGGTTGTGGTACGATTTTTGGCCAAGGGCGGTTCGACTCCCAGGAGGGTCCCGTTTCTAGGATTGTGCCGTCATCCTCGCCTTTTGGAGCCGCCTGGGAGGACCCTCGTGGCCACGGCCAGACGCGGCTCGGGAAACTGGCCAGGACGGACCACGGGATGGAGGGGCCTTCTGAGGAGGCATCTCGAATCTGAGGACCTCCCCCCTGCCCTCTAAGAAGCCCTCTCCGAGGCCTGTACGGAGGTGCCGACCCTTCCCCGACGCTCCCCGCACTTTCAGATAGGGCCCGCCCTCATCGGGCCAGCCACCTCTGCGCACCGCCAGCAGGTGACGGACCTCGCGCTGGAGATCGGAGATTTCCACGTCCGTGAGCACAGGGAGGCGGGGGGGGGAAGTGGCGCGCTCCGTGATCAGGCCGCCAGGGCACTGCCAGGGGCTTTGGAGCGACAGGCGGCGCGACGCACCTAAAGCGGTGGCGGGCGCCGCATCCAGACAGGCGAGCGGTGCCACGGCGGCTCAGCGATGAGCTGTTCCTTCGGTGGCTCTTCGAAGGCGAGGGCATGTCAATGGTGGCGGGGCTCGTCTGGTGGCCAGTCCATAGATATGCTCCGCCGAATCTTCCAGTCGTTGACTTCATTGCATTCCTAGATGAACTGTTTACTGTCTTGCATCCGTGTTTTCTGCAGAGCGCGGTGAACTCGCATATGGGTCCGTCTCAGCACCTGGCCTCGGCACCCAGCTCGGCCAATGCGTGCGGCCAGGAATTCAATCTGGGGGCGCATGGCGCTCTTTGCAATGCCGACCCCAGTCCCTACGTGGAGTCCCGGGCCCTCATCGTCATGATCCTAGCGGGCGTTGCGCCATGGGGGGCGATAAATGGGGGGGCGAAGAGAGGTGCACCTCTTGTATCCTAAAGGGGCCATTTGGGGCCCAAAGGGGGTACGAAAGGTGCACGTGTCTCCCCCCCCCCCCCCCCCCCGTTTATCGCCCCGCATGAAGCAACGCCCGATCCTGACAAGGTGGCATAGGCCCCTCGTCGTGACCCTGGCAGCGCGACGTTCCCGACCGTTCCTTCTCCTACGCCTGGGGAGCCAACAACACCACGCGGGTATAGGCTTCGGACGCCCGCGGGGGCTGTTTCTCTGTCGCCCGCGCCGGGCACCACCCCAAGCACCCCTGGGCAGCCGCCTGGCGTGCCAGGGAGTGGTGCGAGAATGAGGGTCCGCAGGGCACAGTTCGACTCGCCCAACCCGATTCGATTCGATTTCAGTAGATTCCCATTCCGATTTGACTCGACTTCAGGTTCCGAACTGAATTTCGGATTCTCAATGGAGGCCTTTCTAGCCTGCCGATTCCCGCCGCTCCGAATATTCCGATCTGACTTGTCGATTCTATTCTGGACTTTCTTGCGCCAATGGGCAGCGCATGGCGGGCCAGGGTGTGGTGCGAGAAGGTGTGTCCCGGCGCCAGCGGAGGAGCCGTCTGCGGGCAACCGAAGGTTATGTCTGTGCAGTCGTCTTGGGCTCCCCCGTGGTCCTGACAAGGGCGGCGTTGCCGCCCGTCTCCCTTCCAAGCCACGGTCCGCGCATGATCTATGTAGCCCGTGGGCCGGTGCGCCAGTTCAGGGCTGTTCGGGCTCAATGATCGGGTCTTGCACTGGTGCACTCCTGCTGCATCCGCTGGGAAAAGTGGCCGCGTCTGGAGGGAGCGGCGGGCTCGAGCGGCGAGGGCCGGCACCAGAGTGGAACGGGGATGAGCGTTGGGCCAAGCTCAACAGTCCACGCATGCACGCACCAGGAGAGGAGGAGAGGTGGCATGAGGTCGAATAAGAGGAGGCGGAGGAGGAGTGGGATGTGGATGGTGGGTCGAGGAGGAAGGAGTGAGATTGCACGGATGAGCAGCAGCATGAGGGTGTAAGTTTGAGATGTAGATTTGGGGCGTCCGGGTGCGTCACCAGTCGATTCGGATACCTGCGTGCTAAGATTGTCGGTCAGATGCGTTCGCGTGCGCAGTCTGCCGATTTGGGGTGCCTGCGTGCTCAGAGCGTCGACCTTTGTCGGATCCGCAGTCAGACAATCGATCTCAACCGCCTGTGTGCTCAGATTGTCCGTTTGAGGCGTCTGAGTGCTTGGATCCCGCGCGGATCCTGACAATCGGCGCATCATTCTGCATCTCGTCATTGGAGCGTTTGAGGCCGTGAAGGAATAGGCTTAACAGAAGCTGATTTGGCACGTCGGAGAAGAGGTCACGACATGCACATCAATTCTCGGAGATCCGCGTGTGCCTCCTGGGGATAGTGTTGCCCCAGTTTTTCGGTGTTTCAGCATGCTCAGACCCAAATCCCCTCAAAGCCCAGACCCAGACCTGCAAAGACGTGGCACACCAAGGGCGCGCGCAAGAGAAGGGGAACAACAGGGCGAGACGCAGGAATCCCTTGTCCTTTTCTTCCTCATTCGTGGCATGTGGTCATTCGCGACATCCGTCTTCCTCGCTGCCAGGTGCGGGCCGTACGGCTTGAGTCTTATTCTACCAAGGCAAGCGCCCCGACAAAAGCAAGAGGAAGAGGAATGTCAAGTTCCTCGCTCGCCTTGGCCAGTATAGTCAAACAACTGCTGACAAGGAAGCGCTGCTGTGAAACATAGCAGGAACCCACCCCTCTCGGATCAGCTCTGGCAAGTTTTTCACCCCATATCGATATTTGATTGTGCCAGACTCGACTCTACGGGCACCGGCAAGCCGAAATCGAGGAAAAGTTGTACCGCGACTTGTTGGATCCTCCTCATCCTTCGGAGAGCCGCGCTGCATCCTCTTCCAGAATTCTCCAGAGACCTCCAGAGACTTCCGAAATTGCGCGAGAACCATAGACTACATAGACAGTCTCCCTTTTCCTCCTCCTCGCTGCTCCTCGTAATCTGTGCTCCTCCTCCTCCTCCTCCTCCTCCTCCTCCATGTCGTCTTCATCCTACCCTCTCTACCCCTACCCCCGCCCCTTGATCCATTGGAGTCGAGCTTGCCCCAGACCCATACTCATTATATCCTTCGTTGTGTTTGTTCCCCTTACTGTGCCCATTCCTCCGCGTCCGTCGTTGCTGCCCCACAGACCTTTGTGAAGGTAACGGTCTGTTCCAGGAGGCGTATGACGATGAACCAATGGACACACTTGGACGACAACGTCCTTCTGCTGCTGCGCCTGCGTCACCGCAATCAGCGGCATTGAGTGCGGGTGAGGACGGGCTGCTCAAGGGTATGTCCGTTCAGACAGCCAGGCTTTTAGTTGTTCCTTTCACATGGGCACTTTCAGTGAGAAAGTTGGCAGGAAGTCTTACCAGGATGGGGCTGAGCTGAAGAAGGTCAGCGAGACACCCATGTCGATGGTCAAATCAAATTACTTTGATCGAGAACGGTAGAACCTTTGACGGCACTGGCTCGGCCGGTGGAGACTTACCTCAGTCAGTTGTTGTTTCGGCCATGTCGGACCGCAACGTTCCTCCTTCAAGATGGCTCCCTATCACCAAGCACAATAACATATTTGCTGGTAGATGCGCCTGCAGTAAACATGCGGTGCCCCAACCCGAATTGTTTCGTCGCTTTGATGGCGATTGGCGTTTCTGTAGAAGTGGCAAGACCTTCAAGCTCGTCGCCTTGGGCACCTACACGGAGATGTGCAATCTTTGACCCCCGTCCAGCGATCACGGGAGTAATTCCTTGGAGGCCACGAAGGGCCAGAAGGTACACATTAAGCACGCCTAAGCAAGTCGACGTTCGCATGTGTCTCGTCATAGCGTGCATCGCGTTTGGCATTGTGTTGGTAAGCGCTTTGATGGAATCGCTTGCGCAGCCAGCTGCAGGCACGATCGTAAGTTCAGCGATGATGTTCTCAAAATGTATGGCCCGTCCCTGGAGCCTGAAGTCATCCAGATGGCCGTGGGGTCCCAGAAGGGCATGGGCAATGTCGTCATACTGCGCAGGGCCCCTTTTGCGTTCGGCAATCCCTCAAGGCTTCGACTGCTGGTGCGCCCGTTCCTGGCCCATGAACTTCGATGTGCTCCGAGTGCCCAGCAGGTGCTCACAGCAGCTGGCGAACAGTTCGTCCTTGACACAAGCTTGCCCAACATAAACGATCCTTCGCGTGGCTTCTGAATCGAAGAATTCATGGCAGCATGCGCTGCCAGAGAACGATCCGAGCCCCGTGCGCATCCAGTAATGGTGTGCTGGAACGCTCAGGGGGGTCCTGGTCGTGGCATTGCTACGCGCCTCGATTTGTCTAGAAAGGGCTCAGCTGGACGGTTATTTGCCCGCAGGAGTACTCTCCAGGGCCACATGCTCCTGGATGGGAGCTCGCACGTGCGTGTGATTCAGGAGCCTTCGAGGGCTCGAGGGCTGACTGCTGGCCCGGAGCCCTGGACGATTCGGATGTCAGTGTTTGCACGGTGTGTGGGCCCGTGCCGAGCCTTTGCCCCCAGACGTCCAAGGCCAGCGCTGCTTGCAGGCTCTCGCAATGGCTATTCTGACAGCGCGAATGCGGTCAAGTACTGCTCCGCCCCGGAGGCCGTTCAGCTACCCCCTACGGCTTTACGTTGGCACGATGCTGAATGATAGGCATGCCGTTTGGCGACCAGTGGAGAAAATCAAAATGCACTTCGCAGAGAGCGTGCGGTTGACCAGAACCGATGTTTGTTGCAAGGATGGCAACGACGCGGCGGATTTGGCCACTAGAACTCAGGCGGCCTTGCACCCTGCCCACAGCCCAGCGTTTGCCAAGGCTCGTCCTTGATGGTGCGATTTCGATTTGTAGGGTGGGCTTGCGGGGGCGCTCCTCCCGCAATGGCCTAGGCGTGATATCTCTCAATGTGACTGAATGGTCCCCCACCGCCGACCACAAGCCGCACAAAACGTCAGGGTTTGTTCACGAGCAGGTGTGGTTTCGGGGAGTGTGGCGGTGTGACGGCTGTCTCAGATACCGAGGATCGGCTGCGAGGCCGTCCGATGAAGGATGTTTGTGCGTTTGCAGCAAATTGCCCGTCAGGAGTACTCTGCCCGCCTTGGGGTGCCCCGACGGTTCGCATGCAAGGCATTCGCGTCACTCGGACATATCAGGAATTTGAAGCAAATTTGCCGCAGGCCCGAAAAGAATTCGGGTGCAGGCACGAGTGTTTGGGACGGCTGGCGGCGGATGTTTCGAGGGTTCCATCCGGAACTTGGCGATGTGGGGTTTGAGCTCCTTGCCCCCGCCCTTCCCCCTGGCGGAGCGCGTGATGATGTTTCTGATCCGGCTCGTGTGTCTCCCAAGTGGGAGGAGAAAGAAAAGCAGGAGCAGGAGGGGGAGGAGGAGGAGGAAGAGCAGGAAGAGGAGCCTTGCCAGCAGCTGGGGAGGGTTGCAGAGGGCCTCAGGACCGATGGGTTTGAGCAGCCCTTGGTCTCAGCCGCTCGTGCTTTTGGATCGGAGTCGGGAGACCCCGACCGACCTTGCACTGTATCGAAAAATCGGAATGAGAACATCTCCCATGTCTGTTGTATTCGTGGCGGGAGGATTGATTATTTCCATTCTTCGTTCTTAATGGCCTGCGGTGAGAACACTCTCGTGGCACCTGCAGCAGGCGGCCCCTTCCGCTTGTTGACAGGCTGGCAGGCACGTTTCACCGTGAGTGCGACATCCCCAAAAAACTTCTGTCAACTTCTCTCCTGGCCCGTGGCCCCCTCGCGTTGCAAATGCCATTCAAGCATAAACCTCTCACTCGACACTTGCACTGGCGAGTCAGACAGGAATGCGCCCAACGGAATGAAGAGAAGGGATGGATGGGGCGGGTGTCGGATGTGGCCCGAGTGCGCCCCTACCTTGGCCTTACCCCCCCCCCCTCGCCCCCGTGCCCGCCTGCCGCGCGCGCCAGGCCGCCAGGGTGGAGCGCGCGGGGCTCGGCGGGCGGCGCCCTCCCCCCCCCCCTCAGGAAGCTGGGTGGCGGCAGGGAAGCGCGACCGATTGCGAACCCCACCCCTGCGACTCCACTCGACGCTGGGACATCGGACACCCCGGCTGGGGTTCAGCTGGCTGCAGACATCCTTCGGATTCTGGACCCCAGCCAGCGTTCCAGAAATCTGGCCTGCAGGGGAAACGCTCGCATGTGGCTGCCCCACAGGGAAGGAGGGCGGCAGGGGGAAGCAGGCAGAAGAGCATGGGGCGTTCGCGGCGCGGTCGGTCGTTGTGTCGCTGTTGCGTCGCTGCGCCCGTCCAGACCGCAAGCCGGTGTTCGGATCGAGTGGTGTTCCGTTGTGTTGTCGGCGCGCGCGTCCTCCTTGAGGAGCTTGCGCGGGGTGGGGGGGACAGCATGCGGACGAGGAGGGAAGAGGGAAAGGAGGGGAGAGACGTGGCGGACCAATGAGCGAGGTAGGCCAAGGGGGGGGGCGACGAAATCTTCTGCATGCAGCCGGTTTCGGCTCCGCCGCCCTTCTTTTTCGGCACAGGGCCGCCTCCGGCGCAGGGAGGCGCCAAGAAAACCAATTGCACGCATGCCCATTAATATCGCCCTCCTTTCGTCCGGCCCGGCTGGCGAGGGATAGGGAGGAGACGGAGGAAGAGGAGGAGGAGGAGGAGGAGGAGGAGATGATGATGAGGATGAGGAGGAGGAGGAGGAGGAGGAGGAGGAGGAGGAGGAGGAGGAGGAGGAGGAAGGGGAGGAGAAGGAGGAGGAGCAGGAGAAGGAGGGACAGTTATTGTTCAGCGTTCCTTTCGTTTCCGGGAATTCCGGGGATAACGGACCCATCCGCGCTGCGCTGCCTCGTGGCCTCGATTTGGCGTTTTGCGCGGCTTCTGCAGCACTGCTCCAGTTGTGATGCTTGCAAAAGCATTTGCTGTCCCACCAGAGTCCCACCAGAGTCCCCAGAGTCCCACCAGCGGCGGCCCCTGATCATGGCTTGGCCGTCCAAGCGCGTGCCGCCGGCGGCGGCGGCGGCAGCCGAGGCCTTGAGGCGAGGGTGGAGAAGGTGGCGCGGGAGCTCAACCTAGACAAGCGCGTGGGCGAGCTCACGCGGCAGCTCGAGAGGGTGCAGGAGCAGTGCTCCTGCAACTGCAGTTGCTCAGGCAGTGAGTTGTTGCGTTTTGGAGGTAGGACATGTGCGAGGTATGTTTTATGCGGTGGATGCTATGCGGTGCGATCTATCTGGTGTGTGCATTGGTATGTAAGCTCTTCGGTGTAAGCCATGCGGTGTGAGTTAGGGCGTGCAAGCTATGCTCGTCACCCAGGGTGCAAGGCGCTCTCTCAAAGCGCCCACAAGGCGGAAGCGTCGGCGAAACCTCGACGGACCCAACCAGGGCACGAGGCGTCCACGAGGCTCTTACGGGCGGGAGCGTGGGCGAAACTCCGGCGGAGCCACCCAGATGCCCAGAAAGTCACACTCTAACCCGATCGCTAGCATTATTTGGGACACGAGCTGATAAGCCAAACAAGTCACACGCAGGTGCGCTGAGATAACCAATCTTCGTGCTTTGAGGTTTCCTCCGTTTCGGGCTTTTTGTTTTGTGGAAGCCTGGAGTAGGAATACACAGCGGGTTACTGGCACGCGCCGCATGGAAACTACTACTCCTTGGCGGCGCCAGGCATCCCATTGGAGGTCTGGGAGATCTCGCGAAAGCCAAGATCGACGGGCGATGTAGACCCTAGATGATTTGCAAAAGTTCCCCGAAGAATGCATGCCCTTTGGGGTCCTTACCTGTGCTCTAAGGAACTGGGCCCTGTGGGCGGTCTGGCTGCTCCGTGCCAGCCGTCGCCACCCCGTCGCCGCCTCGTCGCCGACCGTCGTCCGGGCCGTATGTGCTTTCTAGCGGCTCCGTGCCGGCCGTCGTCGCCCCATCGCCGCCTTGTCGGCGCCCGCTGCCGCCGATGGATTGCGCAACAAAGAATGCGCGGAAAGAAATGTCGTGCCTGCGGTGCGCATCTTGATCGCTCATAACACGGATTGCACCACATATGTTGCACACCACAGGATGCAAGCCATACGTTGCACAATCATTAACATTGCGCCACGTAGGTTGCACCGCGATTTTGCGTTACATCTATCACATAACACAGATTGCATAGCACATGTATATACATATATATATATATACTGTGGGTCCCAAACAGTAGGTTGTTGCTTTCTTTGCGGTACACTATATATATGTATATGTCTATATATATATATGTGTGTGTTGTGATGTATGTGATGCAACCTGTGTAATGCAATAAACGCGGTGCAATGAATGCGGCGCAATTTCTGTGGTGCAGTCTACGCTGTGCAACCTGCGTAATACAATGTATGCGGTGCACTGTATGTGGTGCAATCAACGCGGTGCAGCCCATGCAATGCGGTCAATGCGGTGCAATCTGCGTGGTGCAATTTACGCGATGCAACCTACATCATGCAACCTATGCGGTGCAACTTTCGGACCACCTATATTGCCCACCATGTATTGCTCAGCAGGTGCTTTCCGCATATTTTGCACCGCGCAACCTGCACCAAAACACATTGCACCACATCAATTGCCCAACCTAGGTTCTCTTTTCTGAGATGGTATTAGGATTTCCCTCCCCCCTGGCCTTGCCGGTTCCCCCTCGGGATGTGCAGTTTGCAAACGATTCTGTCCGATTGCCCGTCCGGCATATGAGTTCAGATCATCCCAGCTAGACAGGCATCCCACCTTCATCCTTTACAGAAAATGCGACGCGCGCGACATCGTCGATCAACGACCATCAGTTCCCGAATCCCTTGCAACATATGGGACGAAGTGTACACGAGCGCGTCATCGCGCGCGCATGCCGAGATCCTTCAAAAGCTTAGGGTTCCGTCAGGACTTCGAAACCGATTGCCCCGAAAACCTGTAGAAACACACGGTTTCGCCACAGCGGTTGTCAACATAATTCGCGCAATATCGGTTGCCAAAATAAAACCATCGGCAGTTCAAGGTTTTCATAGAAGTGCTAATACACGGGCCTCTTACGCGCGCATGTCGATATCATTCGAAAGCCGTTGCGCGCGTGCTGTCGCAATAACCCTTCTACAACGGACGGGGCGAAGTGCACGCGCGCGCGTCGTCGCGCTCGCATGCCGCAATCTTTCACAAACCCCAGGTTGCGTACGTAGTTCCAGAACGAGTGCCCCGAACAAATGTAAACCAAACGCTTGGTTTTGCAACATCAGTCTTCTCAACAAAAAATGCGTGCGCGCTCTTGCGAATTATGAGGAAGACCATCGAACGGGTTTCCAACATTGTCATCAAATTCTGCCAAACTGCCTCTCGCGCAGCATGTCGAACTCGCGCCGCATGTCGAATTCATCCGGACGCCCTTGCGCACATGCTGAGGGGGGTCGATATCCGTCTCAAATAGTTCCACGCGGGCCACTCGCGCGCGTCGTCCGCGCGCGCAAGTCGAATTCTTCCCAAAACCTTCATCACCGACGCGAGGACATCGTCATTATTATCGGCGGGCGCGATCAGCATAGGTGCCGTCGTTGGCCTCTCCGTCGTCATCGCCACCATTGTCACCATCATCGCTACTCTCAACATCGTGTCTACCGTGGCCGGCGTCGCCAGCATACCGCGCCCGCCCAATTCACTGACTCGCTGTGAAGTGCCCACTGGGAAGGGCCCCGCGGTCAGCGCCACCGCGGCCGCGCCGGTCGCGCCACACACGCTATTAGCAGGTCGCTGCGCGCGTGAGCATGCGCGGGCCAGCTCCAAGCAGTCATTTCAATCGCTGCCGCATGGGTTTTGCAAACCAAGTTGCGGGTGGGTGGGTGCGGTGATTGCGCGACGTGTGGAGTTGGCAATTCTCCGCGGCGGTGGGTGGATTCTGTTTTGTGCAGGTTCTACCCCCCCCCCAGGGCTAAAGATCCCCCTGGAACCGATGCAAAACACATAGTTAGGATGCAAAGCCGGTGCATCCTAACTATGAGTTTTCGTTATCCCAGGGGGGACGGTATCGGCCCCCCCCCCGCCATCCTCTGCAACAAATGGGACGAAGTGCGCACGGCGCGTCGTCACGCGCGCATGCCGGAATCTTTCGAAAGCAGTCGGTTTTGGAATGATGTCAAAGTCGAGTTTGCAAGAATCAATCTAAAACCCAAGGATTCGCAACAACGCCGGTTTTCCCCAAAAAACTTACACGCGCGCTCTGCGATTTTTTGCTACAAAAAGCATATTGTTTCAACATTTTCAAACACTACTACCAAACGGGCTTCGCGCGCGCATGTCGAAATCGTTCGGACGCCCTTGCGCGTGTGGTGCGCGCGCGTGTCATCGCGCGCGCATGCCGGTATCCTTTAAGAGATTTCGGTTTCGGAAGGATTTCAAAATCGAGTGTCCCAAAAACATACAGAAACACCGGATATCGCAACACGGAGTTTCAACATAAGCGTGCTCGCGCGCTCTTGCGTCGTCGTCGTCGTCGTCGCCGTCCTCCATCTTCCCTCGTCGTCGTTGCCGTCGTCGTCCACTGTCTTTCCTTGTCGTCGTCGTCTTCGTTGGCGTCGGCGCCGTTTCCGTCGTCGTTGTCGCCGTGGTCGTCCTTTCTCCTCCCTCGTCGTCGTCGTCGTCCGTTGTCGTCGTCTCGTCGTCGTCCCTCCTATTCCGTCGCCGTCGTCGTCGTCGTCGTCGTCGTCTTCCCTCCTCCGTCTTCATCGTCGTCGGCGTCGCCGTCCTCCCTCCCTCTTCGTCGTTCGCGTCGTCGCCTTCCTCCCTCCCTTCTCGTCGATGTCGTCGTTGTCGCCGTCGTCGTCCTCCCTCCTCCCTCGTCGTCATCGTCGTCTTCGTTAGGACGTCGTCGTCGTCTCCGTCGTTGTCGTCGGCGTCGTCGTCGTCGTCGGCGTCGTCGTCGTCGTCGCCGGCGGCGTGGTCGTCGTCGTCGGCGTCGTCGTCGTTTTCGTCGTCGTCGTCGAAGTCGTCGGAGTTGTCGTCGTGGTCGTTGTCGTCATTGTCGAAGTCGTCGGAGACGTCGTCGCTGTCGTCGTAGTCGTCGTCGGCGTCGTCGTCGTCGTTGTGGCTGTCGTCGTCGGCGTTTCTGTCGCTGCCAAGTGTCATTTGGTACCCACCGTCACGGTCTTAAGAGGTCTTGCGACCAAGTTTCGGTTGGGAGGGTGGGATGTTTGCACGAGCAGTGGAGAGGACAGCTTCAAGACAGTCAAAGTGAATTGCACACCATACATTACACCAGACATATTGCCCAACTTATCCGTAAGGGCTTCGCCCCCTGCCGCCGGCCCCCTCTCTCGGATAATGGGCCATGGAAGAGCAGGTTTTGGACCCTGACCCCGCGGATCTGCGTGAGGGGTGGCACCGAATTTCAGAAATGTGGCAAATCCCTTTTGTTTTTGGACCCTGACCCCGCGGATCTGCGTGAGGGGTGGCACCGAATTTCAGAAATGTGGCAAATCCCTTGTGTTTTTGGACCCTGACCCCGCGGATCTGCGTGAGGGGTGGCACCGAATTTCAGAAATGTGGCAAATCCCATGTGTTTTTGGACCCTGACCCCGCGGATCTGCGTGAGGGGTGGCACCGAATTTCAGAAATGTGGCAAATCCCATGTGTTTTTGGACCCTGACCCCGCGGATCTGCGTGAGGGGTGGCACCGAATTTCAGAAATGTGGCAAATCCCCTGTGTTTTTGGACCCTGACCCCGCGGATCTGCGTGAGGGGTGTCGATTTTGAGCCCCCCCAGCAATTCAGACAACGAGCCCTCCCCTCGCGCGGTCAATCAACTAGTTACAGTAACCAGCAAGAAGCAGAATTGTAACACTGGAAACTACAAACTACAACTGGTACAGGAAACTGCGAATCACGGGCCTACAGCCTGGTGGCCCCACAAGGGGGCCGGCGGATATAAAGAGCACCTAACATGCACCAGATAGACTGCACAACATTGGTTGCTCCATGTACACGGCACCACTCAGATTACTTCACGCAGAACGCATCACAGCGATTGACAACAAAAAGCGCTTCGGAATCCATGATGGTTGACATATTCTGCATTATCGTATGTAGCTGCTCTACGGCTTCGACGTCAGCAAGGGGCGACCGTCAGAGCCTAGACATGCGGTTCCACTTACGTTCCCCCGCTTTCCCCTGACAGGTACTCCATTTTGCAGCGGGAGAACGAGGATGCGCGCGACAAGAACGCATATCTAGCGGACGCGTTGGGGTATAGGTTTCGCTCGTTATTGCGAGGTAGTTGGTTCAATTCACGTTTCCGTCTGCTGCCTCCACGTTGTTGTTCTGCCTCGCGCTGCCGTGCCAGCCGTGTATCGTTGATACTTGCGCTGGTCTATGGTATCCCGCGGGGCGGACGGACGATGGGTGCGGGGTGAGGTGTGGGCAGGGGTTGGGGAGGTGGGCAGGGAGGAGAGGCGATTGGGAGGGAGGAGTGGAGAAGACTGCAGGAAGGAGGGAAAGGGATCATCTTCTCCTGCTCCTGCTCCTGTTCCCACGTTCCTCCGCGTCCCCCTCCTCCCCCTCGTTATAACAGCGGTGGGAGTCGGTGGGAGACGGTTGGACCTGGTTTCTTCAGGGTCGGGTCGGGAGCAGGGCCGCGTCGGTGCGGCTGAAAGGGGCCCCCGAGACCGCTCGAACACCGCGGGCCCCGAACACCGATTCTTTTGGCCTCCATGATCGTCCTCCCGCTGCTGCTCGTTCTCGTTGCCGTCGTCCTCCTGCCGCTTCGTCTGCTCCAGCCTCTCCTCCCGTCCCCGCTTAAGCTCATGCTCTCGCGCCCCCTTGGTGGCGTCGCTGTGGCCGTCGCCGGAATTGCCGTCGCTGTCGCCGTCGTCGATGTCCAATCCCTGCCATCTCCGGCCCCCTGTCGCGATAGGCGTAGAGGAAGCGCGAATGTCGTGACACAGCGGCAGCGGCGGCAGGTGACGGGCAACGAGAGAGTGCCAATGACATGCGCAGAGAAATGCAGGGGCAGCACGGTTGGAAGGAGGAGGGTGTGGAGGATTTTGTCGCCGTTCTCTTCCGTCTTCTAGCTCCTCTTGCGCCTCGCCTTCTTCCCTCACATCCTCTTCCTCCTCAGCTCTGTCGTCGCCCCATCACCGCATCCCCTCAGAGTCCATCCCCGGGCCTGTCCCGGAGGATTCCAAGGCGAGTCCAGCCGGGCCGACGACGGTCCCGAGTGGTGACGCGGCACGTATTGGGAGCGGTAGGTTGTCTGTGCTTCCCTATAAGCCCTTCTTTTCAGAAGGCGAAAACCCACCCCCACCCCCAGTCCCACCGCCCATCCCCGAGCCGGCGATTCAAGGGGCCGGGACTGGGGGTGGGGGTGGGATTTTTCCATTCCTGGACCCCGAAAGCCAACCCCCACCCCCAGTCCCGACTCCTTGAATCGCGGGTTTGGGGATGGAGTCGGGACTGGGGGTGGGGGGTGGGTTTTCGCCTGCTCATCTCTGTCGCGCAAGACAGAACCACACGACTGGACGCCAGGACACAATACCCGGAAACCGGGGGCCCGGCCCTGGGCCAGCCCACCCTCCCGCATGCCCCTCCTTTTTTCGGTGGCGGCCCGTTGCTCAATCCCACCATCATAGGGGCATACATCCCCGAAGACGGGACGGGGTGAGCACGAGTGGGCATCACAGCCGGCCCAAGTCAAAAGACATCAAAAGGGGCAGTCTCGCTTCAGCGTTGACCTCTCTCATTATGCTCTCCCCTCCGGGGCTTCCCGGTCCGGGATGCCCCGGATGGGGAGCCCCCGAGTCTTTGGCCTTCCTCTGCCGGCTCGCAAGGGTTTGGGAGGGCGCACGCGGGGGACTAGAGCGGCCCAACAACGTCGACAACGCCCCAAGAGTGCGGGCCCCAGGAGGGCAAGGGCAAAATTGCCCAATTCCTTCTTCGGCAGACGTAAGCGCAGGAGGTTGTTAGTTTTGCTCTCCCCCGCTGTTTCTTTCGGCTGAGAATCATATCACCTTCTCCTCCTCTTCTCCTCCTCCTCTTCCTCCTCCCCCCCTCTTACCTCTCCTCCTCCTCCTCGTCTTCCTCCTGCTCCTCCTGCTCGTCCTCCTCCTGCTCCTCCTCGTCTCAGTCCGAAGGAGGGCGTGGAGGAGGAGGAGGAGGAGGAGGAGGAGGAGGAAGAGGAGGGTGCCGCGGAGATAATTTGTGTTGCACTGTTGGTGGGATCCCAATCCGTCAGTCAGGTCGCCGAAAAGATCAGTAGTTTCCAACAACTGTGTGTTTGGGGTTCTGAACGCCTGGCCCGCTTACATGTTTAGCGTATTTGCCTGTTTGAGGTCTGCCGGCATGCACCACAGCAGCCAGCATATACCTCCTCTTACCTTGCAGCAGCGACCATGCACAACCACCATTAGCCCCGCCGTCAACCCCAAACCACCATATACCTCCTCTCCCGCCGCACGGGGCGCAGATTGATCAAGCGTCTCAGGTCGACAGTGCGAGCCCCCCCCCTCCAACCACAGGACCCTGCATGGGAGGCCATGCAGGGCACCACTACGGTACCCGCCACGATGGAGCTTGAGCACCACATCGTTGTCCAGCATTGCGGCAGCGAGCTGGCCACACCGATGTAGGTGAGAATCATGATGGTGTCCAGCACCACGGGATTGAGCACTACAACGGCGTCCACCATGATGCATTCGAGCGCCACGTCGCTACCCAGCACTACGGAGTCGAGTACGACCTCGGTATCCACCACGAAGCTTTGAAGAACATAATTGGACACTACTGCGATGACAGGCAGCACATCGTTGACCAACTTTCCCAGCACGACGGGATCTACCAGCCCACCTTATCACCAGCACCACTCGCAGCAGCGTGAACTTGACGCGAAGCACGATCCACAGCAGCTGCAGCTCAGCACTAGTTCAACACGGCGGTGTCCGCCAGCGTCGTGCACGTCAGCACCGACGAGATGGCAAGACAGACACGGGTGATGCACCACGAGCACCAAGAGTACGGATGAGACCAGCTGCACTGCCTCGTCGAACATGTCGGTTCTCAGTCCGAGCGCGTGCAGCAGCCACAACCGCAATCGAATATGCTGGGCCAGAAGCCGCAGGACGACGCTGAGCAGCATGACGGCGAGATGCAGCACGCTTGCTCGACGAAGCTCTGACAGCGTTCCTGCTTGTGGCGAGCCTTCCAGCGAGGCTCTTCGTGCTGTTGTGCTCTCCCTTCAGCCTCCCCTCCTTGGCGCGTTCTCGGCCGGCTTGCTTGCAGCGCCGATTGCATCCGGGAGGCCGCCCGGCTCGCGATCGGCCGCCCGACCCAGCCTGCCGCGCCTTCCTGGTGCCGCACGCTGGCTCGCACGGTCGCGGCTCTGGGGCGGTCGGGTCCAGAGCTGAGCGCCCTGAGCCTCTGCGGGCACACGTTTGAGTCAGCCATCTCGTGCGAACTGCGCTACCTTTCGGGGCTGTGCCACTGCCGTCTCTGGCCCTTCTGTCACTTCCGCCTTCTATCACTGCCGGGAGTTGCGGCCGGGTTTTTTCTGAGGGGGAGGTGGTCCGTGCTTCTTTCGACTTGTTGTAGATGCACGTTTTGTCCTGCATGTCCTTGTCCCCCCGTCCCCCTGCTGTTTCGTCCTCCTCCCTGCCGTCTGCGTCCCTCTTCCTGCCTGTGCTGCTGCTGTCCAAGCGTTGCTGTTCGCTTTTGCTGCTAGGCGGCTTGCACAGTTCGGCTCATTGATTTCCCTCGCCTCCCTCGTCTTATCTTTTTCTTTTCGCTACATTTCAGCTTCGGGTTGATGTGACAAGCTCTGGTATACAGGCGTACTGCATCGAGGAAGATGAACAAACACAAAGAACATCACTAATTGGGCCTTCACAGCGTCCAAGACGGCCCAAGAGGCCCCAAAGATCGCCCGTAGAGGGCCCAAGAGGCACCCAAGAGGGCCCCAGCACAGCCTAAAAGAGCTCCCAGACGGTCCAAGAGGCTCCCGATACAGCCCAAGAGGGCCCCAAGTGGGGTCCACGAGGGGGCACTCCAACTGACAGTTCCAAGAGGACCCCAAGGACCCTAACAGAGGCTCTGAGAGGCCATCAAACAGCCCCCAAGAGTCCCCAAGACGCTTCAAAACTGCATGCCAAGCGAGTCCTGCTCACAGGCGTCCAAGAAAGGTAGCGGTATGTGACGAAGGATGAATAACCAAGCAACTAACTTGGCGACGGACCCATCGTTATGCCGTCGTGCGTAGCGCAGGACGTGGTCCTCTCTTCATGTACTGAGCGCCGCAAGACAATGCGGAAAACGAGCTGCTGAGGAGCACGCGTGCACGGGCACGCAGAACTCTTTGTGGGGCACGATCCGCGTGAAGGGTGTGCCGAATGATTTGGATGCCCCCGCGTGAACACGCCCAGTGAGGCCGCAGGGGGAGCTTCTCTGGGCACGGCCCGCGCGAGGCATATTCAATGGACGGCGGGACGCCATACGAAGCTGTCCAAGCTCCGCCTGGGGCATGATTCGCGTGACGGGTGTGCCAACATGGGCCGGGGGGCGCTGCACGAGCTTTGTTTGCGGTCCTGTAGGTGGCGCTACTTGTGAGCACGATCCGCGTAATGGGATGTGCCGCAATGGGCGGGGGGGCGCATTGTGAACCCTGCCTCTGGGGCCGTAGGTGGAGATCCCAATGGGTCACTATCCGTGTGAGAGGTGTGCTGGAGTTGGCAGGGGGCGGGACGAACCTTCTCTCTGCGGACGTCCGTGGAAGTCCCTGCGGGCCACGATTCGTGTGAGAGATGTGCTGAAGTGAGCTGGGCGACGCCATGCGGGTTTCCCCTGGTGCCGCAATTGCAGTCACTATCGGGGCACGATCCGCGAGAGTGGCGTGCCACTATGCGAACCTTGTCTCTGGGGACGTGGGTGCAGCTCTCTGTGTGGTGCGATCCCCGTGACGGGTGTGCCGACATGGGCGGGGGGAAGTTAAGCCAAGCCTGTCTATGGGACAGTCGATGGAGATTCCTGAGGGGCACCGATGCCGCACGCTTTCGACTACAACCAGAGCTTGCTAGCACCTCAGCGTGCGCGAAGCGCGGGCGTGGTTCAGTGTTCGGATGGATTTACAGGGGCCCCCGCCTCCGAAACTTCCTGGCTGCGTCTGGCTGGTGTCTGCTGAAGGGTGGGACTCCTGGGATGCCGCGAGCCTTGGTAGCCTCCTTTTCCTCTGCGAGACCCGTTTCGCGTAGGCTGGACCGCCGGCGATACAGTCTCCTGCTGGCCAGGGAAGCCTGGGGGGGTCGGCTCCAGGAGTGCTTGGAGACGGCGGAGTCCTCGGCGATGCAGCTGCAGGCCGTGCTGGAGCGGGCTTCCCTGCCGGCGTCGCAGTGGTCTAGTGGCTCCGCCCCTAGTCGCCGGGAGGGCTCCTGAGCGAACGGGGCCCTCGGGCTATCCTCGATGCTCGGCCTCGGCAGGTCCCCCATCCCATGGCGCGCAGCGATCGCGCAGCGACTCGGGATGGGAGCCCGGCCCCAGGCTGCCCAGAGTGTGTGTCGTGTTTGGGTCTCGGGGAGTTTGCCTGCGTGGCATTCCCCCCCAGCACCCCCTCCGCCGCCTCTTCAACCAGCGCCGGGCCGAAAAGGCGTACCAGTGAGGCCCGCTCTGAGTGAAGCCCAGGCTTCTCTTTCGGGCCTCGCCGCGCCCTCCCCCCCTCTACGCAAGTAACCTTGCGGGGATCTGAAAGAAAACCGAGCTCGCATGGCGAGCCCCCGGAGTCCAGGACTCGTTGCACTCCGAACTCTTGTGCTTCATGGCAGCCATGGCATAGCAACCCCAACAGCGTGGGCAAGATTTGTATACATATCCACTCGGGCTCCCGTCCCCAGAAACCATCGGCGCAGTGGATATGACAAACATCAGCCCCCAGGCTAGATTCTTATCCATATCCACTGCACCTCGGCCTCTGGGCGCCCCTTACCAGAAAGTACAAGCAAGATGCAGTGGATGTGGATATAGATCTTGCCCGCATGCTGCGCAAATCTGAGCCTTACCCCCGCCCCCCATCAATTCAGGAGAATCGATGATTGGTGGGAGTAGGATTCGGATTTCGCCACCTGTCTGTTGTTCATGGCAGCAGGGTGAGAAATCGCCACAGGCCGCGACGAGATCGCGGCGTGGTAGGAACTCGCGCAGCCGCGGCCCGAGGACCACAGGAAGGCACACCGAGGAGGGCCCAAGGAGGCCCCAGCTTTGCTCAGCAGGTCCCAGGATCGCCCCGGCATGGCCCCACCCAGATCATCTGCGACCGACAATGTCCATTAACGGATTTCGGGCGCCCCGAAGTTCGGTCGCGATCGGAGGGGATCGATTTCCAGTAGCGGGGAGACGGCGTGCGTGCCGGGGTCCAAGCGGGGGGTTCGAGGCCGTCGACGGCTTCGCGCCGGCGCCTTCTGGGTGGATCCCACATGGCGCCGGCGCGAATCGTGACATGACCGAGGGGAGGAGGGGCGGGGCGGGGCAGGCCACGGGCGTTCTCGCGAAGGGATCCAGTCCCGAGGCCCCAGGAGGGCCCCGAGACGTTCGGCCCCGACTGCTTTCGGGACGGCGGCTGTCTGCGCGTCGTCCGTGAGGGAGCGGCTGGCGGGCCGGCCCTCGCTTCGCTTGAGGCTCGCGGCGCACGAGCCCGGAGTTCCACGGCGCTGCGGCGCGCATCTCGCCCGGGCAGTCCTGGCGCGGCGCCGCCCCCGCGGAGGCCCCGCGCGGGCCCGCGTGGCCCGCGCCGGGCGCCTACGCCAGTCGCCGCGCGGCGTCCGAGCCGGAGGCGCCCGTTCTCGGGCGGCAGCGGCTGCGAGAACTCCTCAGACATCGTCCCGAAAAAATAGGGACTGAGCTTTTCCATGGTTTTTGGCCTCTCGGGGCCCTCACTGGGCCTCGGGAGCGTTAGACGATTATCCGGCATCAAAAACGGAGCCCTGGGAAAGAAGGTCGAGACGCCGTGTTGACAAATCAAGACAGCGGACCTCTGGGGGGCTGGGCAAGTTGAGGCAACGGTAGTACGGTAGTTGGCCTTCTGGGGGCCCCTCGTCGCCACGGCTAGACGCAGGTCGTAGAGCTGGTTCGTTTGGACTCTGGGAGGTGTCCAAGGAGGGAGTTCGAGCTGCTGTTGTCCAAACTCGCCCGGACCAGAAGCGCCAGAGGCGCGCATGCTCCCCTCAGACCCGCGCGCTGCAATTTCTCACACCGGGCATTTGTGCCCACTTTCGGGCCCCAGGACCATCACCGATCCATCTCGCTCGAGAAATGCCGTCGAAAGATGGGGTCTACTTTCCGCGACGTCGGATCTGGGGGGGCGTCTGCGAGAACGACGGCTCGTGGCGGCGACGACTGCGGCGGAGGGAGGTGTTTGTGTGTGTATGTGTTGTTGGCCGGTGCTGGTCGCCAAGCCAGGTCGAAGGTCGAGGGAGGACAAGGGAGGAGAAGGAGGATAATGACAAGGGAGGAGGAGGAGGAGGAGGTTGGAGGAGGAGGACGAGGTTGGAGGAGGAGTAGCAGGAGGTGTTGGAGTCTGGAGGAGGAGAGTTGGGGAGGAGGAGATGAGGGGGAGGAGGGGAGGAAGAGGAGGAGGAGGAGGAGGAGGAGGAGGAGGAGGAGGTTGCAGGAGGAGGAGGAGGAGGAGGAGGAGGTTGCAGGAGGAGGAGGAGGAGGAGGATTTTTTTTGAGCTCAACGCCCGACTCCTCTGCAGACCTGCTTGTAGCAGGCTCAAACTCGTGCCGCAATAGAGGGAAGTGCGGCAGTTGTAAGAAAATCTAGAGGGGCCCACCGCCGTACCAATTGAAGGAGGCTGGGGCGCTCTTCGAAAATCAAATCAATAATTAAAACATCGTGTCAGGTTGTTCGTTTCCACCGTGACGCCGAGCTTCTGTTTGCTATAATGCGGGTGGCGGCCCTTGCACAGAGCCTCCCACCCATAGTGAGCAGCCCGGGAGGGAGGGGGCTCGCAGCGCGCCCCGAGACCCCGAACCGAAGCCCCATTCGAATGGCACTTGCAGCGCATGCAAATGAACAGAACCGAGCCGTCCGATCAATCAAACGCAATGGTGCGATGCTCGAGCTGATCCTGCCTGGCAGCGTGGAGCTTCGAAAACTTGGAGCACCTGCCTGGCGCAAGGCGCTCCAAAGCTCGTGAGCCCCGTAGGCAGACGGCACAACGCCAGATGCCAGACCAACGCTCCCATCTATGGCCAGGTCCCTGGGAAACAGGAAGGTACGGAACCCGCTCCGCCGAAGACAAATCGATGTCTGGCCACAGATGGAGCAGATTGGCGGCGAGCGCAAGAGTAGCACGAGCTTGCTCGACAAGCATGTGCGCCGCCTCCAGCTTGACGGGGTCCCTCGGGTGGAGATCGACAGCCAGCTTCGCACTGATGTCGGCGTGATAGTTGCCTATGCGCCTCCAGCGTTCGGATACATCGATCCAGGCCTCATCGATATCGCGATGGGCGGCGACCTTCAAACACGGCGCTGGTTTAGTACCTTGTGCGAAAATCTGCAGGAAGGCACCCGAATAAACTCGCTTGCCCGACAACTGCTCGCCCCGAGGACGAGACGCTAGCTTGACCACATTTTCGCAATCAGAATATACAGAAATGCGATCTGAGGCCAAAACATTCGCCCAAGTGAAACAGCTAAACTCTGCACTCTGGGGTGTCTGGGGAAACGGAGCCCAGACCGGAGCACGAAACTCCGCGATGCGATCACCAGCATCGTCAACCATGATGACGCTGCTGGCAGCTCTACTGAGCTCCCGGATGGGATGCCTGGCACACGAGCCGTCTACGAAGAGGCTTCCCCACAACTCGGTGCCGGGGCGCTGCCCATTCGATTTCACGATATCTTCACGGTGCCACACAAGGACAGGGCCATCGTCGAACTCCGTGAGGGGACGGGGATAGGAGTCGGCAGGATGGCGAAAAGCCCCGGAGATGAAAACGAAGACGTCGTCCCCGGCCGCCTTAGCTGCCAAAGCTGCTTCGACGATGCTGGCGTCCACTAACTCAGCGCGAAGCTCGGCGGCAGGCCCATTGGAGCACTCCCAGAGCCGGCGGAAGATGGTATCCTGGCAGCCGCAAAAGGGGCAAGAATCTTCGACAAGATATCCTAGAGATTTGGCCCGGAACCCAGTGAAAAAAGCCTCGGTAGCAAAAGCCCGAATCCTAGCCTTTTGTAAGGCCGTGTATTTCTTGCTATGCAACGCCTCGCGGACGATGTCATAGCAGACCCGAGGAAGGACCCCCCGCTTTTCCCCGGAATCTCTTTCCACCATTCTGAAATAGCCGTCCTTGAGCAGGAGGCTGGTGAGGGCCGGGGAGGATTCCAAGGGGGAGGCTAAGGCCACGATCATCAATCAACGTCATGAAGTTTTCCATGCGCCACCCCAAGCGAACCAAGGACATGCGCAGGGCGCTGATGGGGCCTGCAACCTGCCTCCAAGAGCAGGCGGGATTTCCGAACACCGACTCCCAAGCTTGCCTCACGGTGGGGAGGGGGGTGGCCCATTGATAGGCAGACGTCTGGCTAAGCCATATCTCCTTGGCCCAGCGCAGGATGGGAGAAACAGCAGTGCGCCACGTGGGGTCGTCATCTAAAATGGCGGCCGTTGTTAACGACCGGAGCTTCGAGCACGGCCTGACACATGAAAAAATCTTACGCCGGAGGAGCAAAAGGTCTCGATCGCTCGTGCCCGTGACCTCGGACCCGTAGGACGCCCCCGCGAGAGGCCCAGACGAGAAGACCCTGATCACCGCAGACCTGTTGAGCACACGATTTTGCTTTTATAAGTCGGCGAGCAGAACGAACAGCTTTCGCCAATCGAGCTTTCATCTTGGCCGACCGGCCAGCAACCCTAACAGCACGGCCGGCCGTATAGTCAATGCCAAGATTGACCGCACTGCCCGTGAACTTACCTCAGAGAGCCTGCAGCTGCGACGAGATGTGGTCACGCACCCCTAAATTGGCCAGCGGCCCAGTACCTCCTGGGGTGTTCCTGCTCCCAGTCCAGGGCCATGGGGCGCCTGCAGCGGCCCCAGACCCTAAACCAAGAGCAGAACACCCCAATAGGTCTGTAGCCGCCACCCTGCTTAGGAAGGAGAGCGAGAAGAACCACGGAGATCTGGGGAGGGAGGCACCCGACAGCCTCCATCACAGAAAAGACCGAGCTGAGCACTTCGAGCGCACTGTCCGAAAGCAAGGAGAAGTGGCGGCAATGGAAGCCATCAACCGACACCGCCGAGGCCTCTCGATAGGACTTCGAAACCTTCCGAATAACATCCGCGGTGAGACGAGGGAGGGGGTCAGACAAAATCCCGTCCGGCTGAGCCCCCACTCCTTGACCCCAGAGGGCCGTGAACCTATCTCCTTCCGACTGCAGGAGGGAGAGGGGATCACTAAGAATGCACCCATCGGAGGAGAGGGTGGAAGAGGGGTTCCAGGGAGCGGGATCCTTAATCAAATTGTGCACTCTCCTTGCTCCCGCGGCTAGTCCAACGTGCAACCACGCCGACCAATCCGCCCTGCTCTTTGCAGCGTACTTGCCGTCGGCGGCCTTGACGGCGTCCAACACCTTAGCATGCACGCCATCAAGGGTGTCGACGTCCCCTAGGGAGGAGACTTCCTGAGCCACTTGCTCAAAGAGGGGCGCGTAGTCGGCGCGCGCCGACGCAATCGCAGCCGGGGGTGCCTGGAGCAGAGCGCCCAAACGCTGCGCCGACAGGATCGGCGCGAGTGGCGTGCATGAAGGCCCGAAGCTGCTGCCCAAGCCACTTGATGGCCCGATGTTCCGGGTATCTGGCCTGCCCATCTGGATGAAGGATGGACTTCCAAACCAGCTGGGGGCCGACGCCCCGAGTCCCGAGCCTCGGGGGAGAGACCCCTACGATGGGAATGAGGTCTCGCTCAGCGTGGTCAGAGAAAGCCTGATACAGGGGACCAAGCAAACGAAACGCACCCCAGAAGTCTTCCTCAGTGACCCTGTTGAGGGCAGCATCGGCAAGCGCCTTCTCACCTTCCCAGCACGATTCTTTCGGGGCGGGGCCGAAAACAGCAGTGCAGGGCAAGGGAGGGGGCCGACGGAACGAAAGACCCTGGAGCATGGCCAGACGGGGATGAAAGAGGAGCTCCACGGGCCGATGGGGAGAGAGATCCGTGTCCAACATCGCGTCGACCGACTTGATACCCTTAGCCAGGCCCCCGGAACACACAAAATAGTCAAACTTCGTCGGGGGGCCCGCGGGGTAATGGGTAGCGACCGAAGGAAAGATCAAGCTGCCGCGCAATTCGGAAACGAAGCTCGAAGAAGCCAACTCCGCTGGCTCGAAATTGAAATCAGCCCCAACCAACCATGGTTGGTGAATCGAGGAGAGCTGAGCCCCAAGACGGGCTAAAAGGTTGAGATTGGCGTCCGAGAGCCCCTCCGAGTGGTGAAGATACGCCGAGGCGCAAACGATCGGGGGGGTGCCAGGGACCTCGACAGAGCAGATAATACAACGCCCTGGGGTAGTGATCGCTCCGGGCACCTCAGTGCACCCGAGCCAAGATCGGACCAGGATCGCAACCCCTCCGCTAGTGTCCTGGGCGTCAGTGGGGACAGCTGGGGCCCAGAACGATTTCCAGCCTCGCTTGATGCACCGAGCGCTCGCCTGATCGATGTCGTCGGGCAGGAGCAGTCGGTGCTCTTGCACGAGCACAATATGGGCTTGCAGGTCTTCCACTAACACCTTCATCCTTCCCCAAGAGTTCGCATTGATGGTGCGGACCCTGAGCGC